CTTGTTTGAAGTTCGCTCTGAGTCCGTTACGTTACACACGCTTCTAATGACGGCTTGCGTAGCCTTCCTTAAAGTATACAGTGGAGTTTATAACGACACCGCCCACTACCCCCACGAACACTAAATTATCTCGCCCCGATTTAGTGGTTGAAGGAGGTAGAATGCCTTCCATCGTTTTATTTTCTATTTTTTCAATAACCGATTTTGCCCGTCATGTTTTTATAATCGGGGGTCAGAAAAGGTAGGCATGGGAAGACAAGTCGATATTTTATTATAAAAAACTGCTACACTATGCACTAATGAAAAAGGAGGGGACAGTATCTTCGACCCAGTTGCCTTATAGTTTGTAACCCGCGCTTTTTGCGTATTCGGTGATGCTCTTGGCATAAAGGTCAAGTCTTTGTGTCATCTAAAAAGGGCAAAAGAATAAGATTAAGCAGGATATTTCAAGTCAGAGGCCACGTGAACGGCGGGAAAAAGGTTTCAGTCAGTTTTTCGCTGTGAAACCGAAGTTATGCCCACACTCGTCAGAAATAGCATGTACGCATTGGGCGCTTGGAAGGATCTACTGGACTGACAGAGGCGAACACGCAGGCGGCATACTCCACATTGGACTGACTAAGTTTCCAGCCCGCAATAAATAAATAAATGATAAGCGCTCAGATGACGGTACCAGAGGAAACACCTGTGTTGTGTCGCGTAATGAGGACAGGTAGACAAACACCCATATGAGAGCACACATGTCTGCCTTCACGCTCAACAGCGTAGGGGCAGGTAATCTGAAGGCAACGCCCTCGACTTCCAAAACAACTCCTACTTCTTCTGCATTCGAATTGAAACCGACTGGATTAAAGGCTGCAAAGAAGATTGAAACAAGCGAAAATGGAAGTCAAGGTAAGTGCTTAAGAGGAAGTATACGCGATCGCTGGGACAAAGTTTTATTTGTCTGGCGTTTCGGATTCCAGTTCGGCCCCCTCTTCGGAGGCAGTATCAGGTAGGGATAATTCGAACATAAGAAGCAGCAATTGTTAGGCTACTGCGTTGGAAAATATACTCCCCGCGTGGCTTAGTGCGTTGGCCACTTTGATGTCAGCTCTGAATTTCGGGTTGGGAGGTCACTGCACACG